CCTGAAACTGTGGATTTTTTACAGGAGCATATCATTTTACTCCATCTGACATTGAGGTTTTCTTTGAAATAGGTATATTATTGTACAGAGACACTTAAACGCCAGTCGTAAATATACGATGACTAAATACGTACATTCGAATCCGTGGCAACGTTTAGCGATTCTAGGAGCGCATGCTAGGCCTTTATAAATTATGCTAGCATAATTTTTGGCATAATTTGAGCAAATTAGCATTATTTCTGCCAAGTAGCAATGTTAGCATAATTCGCATATTTTGATAATTATCGGATTTTTGATGCTACAATTTGATCATTGTTCATCTAAACTCCCAAGCACTTGGTGACGTTATTCGGTATTTCAACTTTTAGTTCAAGTAGTAGCATCTGTAGTTCACTGTGAATCACTGAGCGGTGTCTGAAACAGTCTGAGCCCGGGTCTGGGGTGCACCGGAACCGGAAGTCACATTGTGGGTCCGGTCATGTTGGTGTGCATGTTAACATGAACCACATGATTATTTGAATTTCATTGTGGATTTGTTGCGTTTGTTTCTCGTAAACCAACGGCTTCTAATTAAAAAATGTATTTTTGGGACCTATTTGCAATTTTTTAAAAGAGCATAATTTTAAAAAAAGGGGCATAATTTGGAAAAAAGAGCATAATTTTAGCATAATTTCGCCAAAAAGAAGCAATGCTACTTGCATAATATGCTACTTTTACTTGCCTAATCTATAAAAGCCTAGGGTGGGGGGTCCCTTGGTTCCCTTTTGATCCTCCTCCCCTCTTATGAGATGCAAGGTGTTAAAAAGCGCCAACCCGATCCTATACAGTATGAATGACTCGATGCTCATCCTACAAGATCTCGCTTTTAAAAAAAATAAATAACATGCATGTGGACATGATGTTCAGTTAAGGTGGCTGAACACAGTTTTTGCGCGCGCTTTTGCTGATGCAATTCAGCGCGCGCACAAGGATTGCAAAAAACAAACATGCCGTCAAAAGAGCGGTCATTTTATTTACTCAACATGTACCCACACTATCTGCTATTTTTTTCTATAGTTGGCGCAATGTATTGAAGGCTTAAATCTTTTATTACAAAGATATGTTAGAAAAGTTAATGGTGCAAAGAACCTAGCAATTCTCAGCTTTTTCGTCGTTACCGAAAGAACTCAGTTAAATGCAGCGCATGCGTAGTAATTAAAAAAAATCTCGATTGAATGGAATATTGCTTTCTCGGAAATATGCCTATTTCTTGAGAACCACTCATTAGAATTTCACGAAATTTGGCACGAAAATACTTTAAGAAATAAGTAACTGGAGTATTGAAAAAAATTGATTTTAACAAAGGAAATTCTAGATAATCGAGTGAACATTCAGCAAGGGATAATTAAAGATCTCTCTGTTAAA